ACCACAGATCTCAGGCAACAAACCAGAGTGGGCAAGCTACAAGTATTTAACAAAGGGACATTTAATGCTCATGTGCTATGCCAGGCACTGACAAAGAAGACTACAGTGTCTCTGTCCCTAAGGAGGTTCGCTGTGGATCTTCATTTTTATTCCTCCAGCATGGAACACATAGTAAGTGCTCAATAAAGTTTAGAGAAACTGACTGCAGTGATTGATCTTGATTGTCAATTTGATTAAATTCAGAAGCTCCTGGGAGGTCAGTAAAGCACCTCTGAGAGTATCTGTGAGGGAGTTCACTGAGAAGATTAAGAAAGGAAGATCTACCCCAAATATGAGTGGCACTATCCCATTGGCTGAGGGGCAAAATGCAGTGGAAGAGGAAGAAGGAAGTTGGTTGGTATGGACATTCTCTCACTTCTATTTCCTGGCCACCAAGAAGTGAGCATCTCTCCACCACACACTGCCACTGCCAGGATGTTCTGCCCAAGTACATGAAGCCATGCACTGAAACCCTTGAAACTGTGAGCCATATCTTTCCTGCTGTTAAGAAGCTTGTGTGGGGGCCTGGAGAGATGACTCAGCTGTTAAGAACACTGGTTGTTCTTGCAGAAGACCCTGGTTTGAATCCCAGCACCCACATGGCAGCTAACAACTGTCCGTAACTCCAGTCCCAGGGGATCCAACAGCCTCTTCTGACCTCCGCGGGCATTGCACGACACAGGTGCACTTACCTACATGCAGGCAATACACACATACACACAAAAAAAATAAATAAATATAATAAATTTTTTTAAATTTTAAAAAGAAGTTTGTGTGAGGTATTTCTTTTATCAACAAAACATTTGACACACTGAAGATGAAAAGGAGGGCAAATAAGGAAATGGAGAGAAAGGAGAAGGAAGATAAAGATCCTCTTGGTAGCAGAGATCTTTATAACGCAAAAGCAATTTTCCCGCAGTGATCACAGACCTCAGGAAACAAACTAAAGTAGGTAAGCTAAAAGCACACAAGCACAGTGTGTGTGTGTGTGTGTGTGTGTGTGTGTGCGTGCATGTGTGCGTGTGTGTGTATGTGTGTGTGTATGCATGTAATGTGTGCAGGTGTTTGTGAAGGGCAGAGGTCAACATTCAGTGTGATTCCTCAAGTGCTAGCCATCTTAGTTTTTAAAACAGGGTCTTTCTTTTTGTTTGGAGCTCACCCAGTAGGACACAGGCATGCCTAACAGAGGTGTGTCAATGGTACCTGGGAAAAGATCCAAGCCTTGAATGACAGGTGGGGTTGCTGAGAGAAGTCACCATTTCTCTGGGGTACAAAGAAAATGGGTCAAGAAAAAAGGGAGCAAGGCAAGGGGAGGTGCATTCTCTGGAAATGACCCCACCCATGATTTGCACAATGAGGTTCCAGGAGCCCTGGCCAGAAAGGCCTCAAGATCTGACCCAAACATGAGAGAAATTAACAAATGCATTTCTTTTTAAAACATCTTGATTCTGAGGCCAGTTAGTACTGCCTGCTGAAATGCTGACTGATCTCGTTAGCTTGACCTGTGCCACTCTTGTGCAAATAACCATAGCTGCAGTGAGTTCACGAGTGCAATGGCCATGTCATGCCCAGAAGACAGCATTTTACAGAGCTCCTCCCCATCCTCCAGATCTTATGTTCTTTTCACCCCCTCTTCCAAGATGTTTCCTGATCCTTAGAGGGATACATTTATATATGTGTTAATATATTTGTTTATATTAACTATAATATATACATATATGTTAATATATTTATTTATATTAAATATTATATATATATATATATATAACAGGACTGAGCACTCAACAATTACTTATTCTCAGCACTTTGACCAGCTATGAGTTTCTGCGTTAAGCGCTACCCACTGCAGAAAGAAGCTTCTCTGGCCAAGGTTGAAAGCAGCACTAATCCATGAGTATATACATAAATATTCAAAAGGCAGTTTGATGTCATGTCCATTTAGCAGAACAGCAGTGATAGGTTTCCTCACTAGGCCTGTGACCTCCTTAGCCATAGACCGAGTTTACAGTACCATACATGGATTCCCTCCTGTGGAGGAGGCCTCAAATCCAAGCAGAAGGTGGTTGGTTGCACCCATAGCAATCATGCCACTGTTGCATGACTGGGCACATCTTGCCTGGCAAGTCAGTATTATAGTGTACAGGGTTCACCATTGGCTCAGACTATTGACACCTCTTCTCCCCCAGCAGCCTGCATAGCACTTTCTTGCACTATGAAAGCTAACTTGCAGGGAGGAAGTTTTCAGCACAGTCCCAGCTTGATTCCTGCAACCAAAGTGTATTGTATCTTCGACAATAGTGTTTTACCTTCTGGTGGGCAACCAAGAGCAATGGCAATGGCCTCTGTTGTCTGGAGGGCCTCCTCCCTGACCAGTAACTCATAAGGAGTATCCACTCCTGATATTGAGAGGAAAATAAAGTGCTTTTGGTGACCTAAATATAATGTGAAATAATTGAAACTGGACTGAAAAAAAAACTGTCAGGGTACTCAGCTCCCATAATTCTCCCCCAAATAACTTACAACTCACATCCTTTGGATGATTTTGAGACCTAGGCAACCATCTCCTCCTAGAAACATGCTTTCCACAGAAAACCCTGTCAGAACTGCATCTGAACCTCCCACTGGGAGACTCACCCTATTCTGGCCTCTCCTGCTCTACCCTCTGCCCGGTGTTATTGGGGGAATCTTGTGACTGCCTCAACTCCTCAGTCTGAAACACCCTCCAGAGTGCTCAGAATCCACCTCCCCAGAGTTTCTGACCTGTCTTCCCAAGCCTTCCCTCCATCCATCTGACCTGGTTTCCATGGAAGCCATCTAGGACTCACCCTTGCCCCGAGGGATGCCTCCACACCCCAGCTCCCCAGGATTCTCACCAATGCCTCTTGCTCCTTCCACCAAGCAAAATCAGGATGGAGTGGAGCAAATGGACAGTCACCTCCTGCTGAAACTCCTAATAAGGGACATTTGGAGGCCCAAGCACCACCTCCTTTAGGGCTTTCTCATTACAGCCTCTTCAGCTCCCAGCTGACAACCCGATAATTCTCTCTGATCACACAGTCTTTGGCAGCTACCGCAGCTGCCTTGACACTGTCCTTGCAAGAAAGATTCCGAGATAAAAGATGAGCTGTGCAATCGCCACTGGAGAAAGGAGAAGAGACCTAGGAAAGGTGCCCTCCCCGGTTCTCCCTCCTCTTCTTCCTCCTCTTCCTCCCTCTTCTCCCTCCTCCTCCTCCCTCTTCTCCCTCCTCCCCCACTCTCCCTCCTCTTCGTCCTTCCTCCTCCCCTTTACCTCCTCCCCCTCCCTTCCCCTCCTCTGCTCTCCCTCTTCTTTCTCTTTCTTGTCCCCTGCTCTCTCTCCTCTTCCCTCCCTCTCCCTCGTCTCTCCTTCCTCCCTCTCTGGCTCCTCCCCCTTGCTCCTCTCCTTATGTCTTCCTGCCTTCTCTTATTTTGGTGCCAGAAACAGTCTAATTACAACAGAAAACTTGAAGAGAAAGAATAAGAAAAAAAAAATCACCTAGAGCTGATTAAAATGTCCTATGAAATCTAATTTGTAAAGCTTAAATCAGAATAAAAGGTGTTACTCCCCAATTCCAGGCCAATTTGATTTTTAATGAGACTCCTAAAAGAGGCCAGAAAGATCTTAGCAGGCTGTGAAACAGAGACCTGTCCTGAGGGCCCCATACCCTCCCCCACACCCCAGTTCTCCCTATGCCCAGAGCTGGGCCTTGTGGGAGGAGAACAGCTCAACTCGAGGCTCTCTGTGGTACGGTGGTACTGTGGTAGGAAAGCTGTGGAACAGCTAGCTAGATGGGCTCCTTTCCCTCCATTGAACATCTGCGTCTGCAGGGCTGGAGGTGGGGGAAAAATGGGGCACAGAACTTAGGTGGACTCTTAAGCCCAGTTCCACTGCATTAGCTGTGTGGCTTTGGGCAAATTCCTCTGCACCTCTGATCCTGGTTTCTTTTTTATAAAGTGGTGATTTTTTTTCTGACCTGAAGCATAGAGGGTTAAGAGGACGGGGGTACAGAAAACACTAATTGCAGTTATCTCAGATCTTCAGCGAATGTCAGTGCCTTGCTGTCCACTTAACTGGGCCTCCCTGGAACACAGTCCCTGTCATCTCCTTTCTTCAGTGACTCTCCCCAGGACCAGGCTTTGGGAGCTATACACAGCCCAGCTCAGCAAATGAGACATCCTTCAGAGCCAGAATGAGGCATATTCACAGCCCTCATGCTGCTGTGGAGAGCCACAATGACCTCAGTTCCCAGCCCTGCAGAGCTGTTTGCTGATTATCTGGAGGGTGTTGTTAGCACAGTACCCCCAGGCAACTCACCCAGCATCAGAAGTACTGAGCCAACTCAGATCCAGTTGCCTTTAGCCTCCTCATCTCCCTGTAGAGACGGTGCCTGCTATGGTTAGGCTGTGCGAATGAAAGGATTCAGGAGTTGATGTTTGAAACCTCAGCACAGAGCCCAGCATCTCACATGTGCAGCAAGGTGTCCAACTAATAAAATATGAAACTTTAGCTAGGATGGTTGTGGCATCTTGTTTTGACGTACGGGTAGGGGACATGGGCTCCTGGGTGATTTCCAAGAGGGAGGCTCTGCAGGGCCAATGGCAGAAAAGGAAGGGACATGGAGGATGTGGAGAGACACGGCCTGCAGCTCCTGCCACTGCACCCTAGCACTGATTTCCTAGATTCTCAGGGTGAACTAGAACCAATCACTCCCTGAACAAGTGAAGTTAGGCAGGATTCCCTCAAGGAGAAGAGGAGTGAGGCTTGTCCCTAAAATCAGTGATGAGGATGGGTAAGCAGAGGGACTAGAGTCCAGGGCCAGCCCCAAAATCTGGGGACAAGACAGGAGGCTGGATCTCAGGACAGTCTAACTTTGCTTCCAGAATGTGGGAGGAGTCATCTAGGTGCTGCTGCCTCTACTGACCCTGTGCTTCTCCCTCCCCAGGCCAAGTCTACTCCTTCAGCCAGCAACCCCAGGACCAGGTAGTGGTGTCTGGACAGCCAGCGACGCTGCTATGTGCCATCCCTGAATACGATGGCTTCGTCCTGTGGATCAAAGACGGCTTGGCTCTGGGTGTAGGCAGAGACCTCTCAAGTGAGTACTTTCACATACCCCCTCGACCTTACAAAAGGCCTGATTTCCACACTGCCCCTATCTGCTCTGCTGGAGAACCCCATCTTCTATCTCCAGTGGTGTTTGAGGCTCAAACTCCCAGCCAGCTCTGTACCTTTCCAGAAAGGCAAGCCCTGGGTCTAGATCCCTAGGAGCCCAGGGGCCTCTGGCTATGAGTAGCAAGCCACCATTCTTGTGGTTGACCCTAAACCTAGCACTGTGTTACCCTGAAGAATAGATACTGAAGCCAATACGATTCCCATAAAGTCTGATTTCCAGATATCGAGTGCTTCCTATTTCTTAACCCAAAATGAACCCCCATTTATCAAGGCATGATCTGGCTTCCCAAACAAAGAGAGAGCCAAGCAAACTGAAAAGTCACGAGGAAACCTGCTTCCCTTAGGGTTCATGATGGGATGAAAAGACAGGATTTACATTAACTGCCAATCTCGTTCAGCCACCCAGGCAAGCTGCACCATGGGGAACTCTCCCAGAGCTGCTGGTGACTGGCATGTCAACTCCATATTTGGTACCCAGCTCTATCATTCGGTGACTATTTTGCATAGCTCCCCTGGAAGCTCATCCAAACACCTTGCCAATCCACCATTTCTCCAGGACATAAAGAATACACCCACCCTTGGGTCATGTTTCTGTTCTGTCACTACTCTGCCCTGGGATGGGTAGATATGCTAGGCTGGATATGCTCAGAGAAATTCAGGAGAAATCTGGGTGTTGCCCCCCTCCCAGTCCTCTGGGAATGGCTGGGGTTGGAGGATGGGTGAGAAATATGTATGCAACTGGGAGGTAGCATGTAAGCAGCTGCAGGAAAATCAAAATCAAAGCATTCTCAGCAACACCATGGCTGGGAAATTAATATTTTAAAATGTGAGTTATGTCTTGCCAAAAATATATGTTGAAACATAGCAATGGTCAATAGTAGTCACAGGGCTTGAATGTTGCAACCCAGCTGAGTATGGATAAAATACCCAGGAATATCTCCAAAATATACTACGCCACCATAAAGTTTAAGTTTTATGGGATCCAGCCCATTTCAGAGATGCTCAACTTCCTTACCCTAGAGAGATGGGCAAACACTACAACCTTCCCAAATGAGACTTGCCTATGCTCGAGACAGCTCTGTGCCCAGACCAGTCAGTTGTTTTCAGCATTTGGTCATGGGTAGGGCTTTCGTCAAGGCCTCATGGAGGCTCCAGGTCACTCAGGAAAGATCATACAGTGGTCATCACAGTATAGATAATTGCATCTCTGGCATGCCATTGCATACCTGGTTTTCTGTGATACAGGATCTGGGGCTTCACAGTAATAAAGAAAAGTAGATCTGATGTCCTGGGCCGGCTTCCTCTCCAACCTCACCCAATCACTAAGGAAGGCAGGTCCTGGTCCCACTCACTGCAGAGCCGATAAGCTCTAAACCCTGAGAAATATCTGCCCTGTGTTTCATCATTTGTTCCAAAAATACCATCCTGACAATAATGATAGGATCAATAAATACCACTCACCTGCCCGATATGGAAGGGAACAGAACAGAATATGAACTGGATTCAGCAAGGGTTTAATATGTGAAAGTTTACCTACACAGAAACAGGCCCAGCATTTGCCAAACCTCCTCCTGCTGCAGCCCTGTCCTCTTCCGTTGTAGCCATGTTGTGTCACCCCATTCATTGTACAAGCAATGAGACCCTCACCTTACTGTCCTTCTCGTCACCAAGGCTGAAATAACAGAAAGAAAATATTTGTCAATACAGTCTCGGTTGCAGATAGACCATTTTTCTCCTAAGAAATCCAGTACTTCTCAGACATTGTCTCATAAATCTACGATTGCCCAGAGGGAGAAAAAGATTTTCTCTCCTTTATTTAAAAGGTGAACAGAGTAACAGTTGAGGAAGCAACTGACTCAATTATATAACCAATCCCAATACATGGAATCTCTGACTGCTAGCCTGGAAGACTGGCATACTTACCCTGTCTGCTCCCTTCCAAATGTGGACACCTCCACTCTACCCCACTGCCACTTGTACATAGTGGGGGTGTATGATGTGTGGTGAATGTGGAGGGGTGTGTGTGTGTGTGTGTGTGTGTGTGTGTGTGTGTGGTGTAGGATGTGTTTACCCACTGAACCATCTCTGCAGCCCTTTGTATTTAATTAGCATGTAGAGAAGTGGGCGTGAATGACACCTGTAATTCCAACACTGAGGAGACTGGTACAGGAGGACTAACACAAGTTCAAAACCAGCCTGAGCTACAGAGTGAGACCCTGTCTCAAAAAAACAACATTTCTATTTATTTATTTATTTATTTATTTATTTATTTATATTTTATGTGTATGCCTGCATGTAAGTGCACTGCATGCATTCAGTGCCCATGGAGGCCAGAAGACGGCATCAAATCCTCTGGAACTGAAGTTATGGACAGTTGTTAGCTACCATGTGGGCGCTGGGTACTCTGCAAGAGCAGCCAGTGCTCTTAACCACTGAGTCATCTCTCCAGCCTCCAAAAAATAGCATTTCTAGACTACTCACAGTCAAACAGGCATCTGGTAGATTATCCTATTTCAATCTTCCCCTACGAGATACTAGCACTGTCCCCATTTTACTGGTAAAGATGCTGAGACACAACAGCATTAAGGTAACCCAGCCAAGGTAACAGGGCAAGGGAGAGCTTAACTGGCATTTGAATCTCTGCAATGACTAGAATCCAGACTCCAAGTAACTTTGACTCCTTTGGGAACAGAAAGCAATGATACCATGGAAGGAGATAGAAGTTCCTCAGAAGCTATGCTCCTGTGTGTGTTTTCCAGAGATGCTGCCAATCTGTGGGATAGCATCGCAGCTCGCTGCCTAATTAGGCAAATACAAACAAACCCATCACTGATGTTTTCAGCAGCTCATGAGAGCGAAATCCTGCTGTTGATGGCTTGCAAGACAACAAAAAAATGCCAGTTTCAGCCAAGATGCCTGCAGGGGACGGGACTAATTGCAGATCAGTGGGATCCAGGGGCTGGACTGGAGGCCGGGTGGTGGCCAGCTGCACAGGGCAGTGGCAGTGGGGAACCCAGCTTCACCTGCCTTGGCTCCCTCCCCTTACCCATCAGAAGACAGTAAGGTGGAAAATGGCACAGACAGCGCTCCCAGGTACAGCCAATCCTTGGGAGAATTTCTGATCACCCCTGTTCAGCTGTGGAGGGCAGGGACCTTGGGTGTCGTGGTGAGGACGATGTGGCAATGAAGGGCTCAGCTGCACAGGAAGGGCCCATAGAGCATGCTGGGAGGCCTTTTAGAGAACCACAGCTGCCCACTTCATTCACCAGAGATAAGCAGTGGTAGTCCCTGGTACAGTCACCCCCCCAGGGAGCGCTACCCCATCTTTATCCACCTTTAGCTTATACAGGTGGAAAGGCCTAATGCTCACCTTCTATTCAGTGTAGAATTTACCTGTGCAGCATCCCAGAGTGGTGACCATCCAACCTGTACTTGAATACTGCCAATAACAGGGACCTCACTACCCTCTGCAGCAGCCCAGACCCTTGATAGACACCCCAGATAGTTAAGAATATTTTGAAGTCTTCACTTGTTAATGTTGTTTGTGGGTGCTAGGGCTGTCCTTGGGAGCTAGTTAGTGAACATGTATAACCCATACCAAGAGACTGAAAGATATCTGAAAAGGGTATTTGTATGTTTCTCTGTCCACCTGTTTCTCTTCCCTCCCTTATGCTCTCTCTTCTTCTCTCTTTCCCTCCCTCCCTCCCTTTCTTAAGCCCTTGTCTCCTCTTTAAAAGGCCAAATATGTCTATGTGTCATGGTGAAGGTCCCAGGAAGATGACCCCCATGGGACTGCCAGAGGGTGGTGGGAACAAAAGTGGGCTTCCAAGGAGAGAGGGGAACCAGGGCAGAGAGGAAAGAAGGGATTTGTTTATGAACCCGTGGTGCAAAGGATGCAGATGTAGTGGGGTTGGTACTCAGGAGAAGCGATAGAAGGGTAGCCCCACTAGGACAAACTAAGAGGCTTAGAGCCCAAGGTCTTAGCAAGAGCAGCGGCTAGCCTGTACTATGACTGCAGTCAGTATTCACATCCATCCTGCCCTGCAGCAGGCAGCTGCTGAATGATTCATCATCCTCAAACTTTTATTTATCTATTATTCATCACCAGCGTGTACATATAGGACCCCAAATTCCTAAGTGTCCTGAGTGCCTCCTAAGTGCTTAATCAGACCCTGGGGTTTGGGGGTGGGAGATAGGAATGGCTAGAAATGGGCTGCCATGGTTCTCAGTGCCCAGCAGTCCCAGACACCTGCAATGTGGGTCCAAATTCCCATTTCCTGTCCATTCTGGGATAAAACTATCCCCCAAAGTTGCTCTTGATCCTTTCCAATCCTTTCCAAGTATTTCTCTTTCCTCTTTCCTTCCTTTTATCTCTGTCTTTGTCTTTGCGAATCTCAGCCTGATTCTCTCTCTCCTCTCTCTCTCTCTCATCTAATCTATCTTAATCCCAATCTCTACCTCTCTCTTCTCCTTAGTAAAGCACACTGCTGAGCACAGTACTTCCCAGAGCTACACCCCAGCTGGATCTGCCCACACTTACTGTCTTGTACTTTCATCTGTAACACTGCTCCCATTTTCCTAAACTTATAACCAACAGAATCCTTGTAGACACATACTCAGACATGACATACAGATACACAGACATACAGATACACATATATGCACAGAGATATATATACACAGAGACATACATAAACACACACATAAGTACAAACATGCACACATACATACACACAGAGACATATACATATATACACACATACACACACACACGCACACACGCACACACACCCTGGGACACTCTTGCTTTTGTTTTTATGCTCCTTTACACAGAACAAAGTCCAGAGCAGGTGCCAGTCAGGGAATCCCACTGCTGTGCCTGCCTGTCAGCAGTGGCCACCCCATCACTCCAGCTCCCCTGAGCTGGGAAGGAAAGCATTGTATGTTCTCTTTTCTCTCTGAAGTTCCAATCATTTTAGCCCATGAAATAAACTAGCAATAGACAGGGGCAGAAAAGCATACACGTTTATTAATGTGCAGAAACATAAATTAAGAGACTCAATAAAGCTTTAGGGTTGGGGCTTTTTGTTGTTTGTTTTCTGGATTGTTGTGGTTTTGAGACTATGTAGCCCCAACTGGCCTGGAACTAACTATGTAGACCATCCCAGGCTGGCCTCTGTCTCACAGTGATCAGCCTTGCCTCTGCCTTCTAAGTGCTGGGATTAAAGGCATGTGCCACCAGTGAGAGTTAGGGCTTTGACAACACATTGATCTATAGAAGGAAACAAAGGGACCAGTGAGATGGTGAAGGCACCTGCCACCAAACCTGATGATCTGAGTTTGTTCTCTGGGACCCACATGGCAGAAGGAGAGAACTGATGCCCACAAGCTGTTCTCTTATGTCCACTTGCATGACACATGGGTGCGTGCATACTCATCACACACACACACACACACACACACACACACACACACGTACCTACACACAAATAAATAAATGAAATATAATAAAAATGTTAAAAAGAAACATGGTTTGGGGCTTCTGAGGGAGAATAACCCTGAAAGGTAGGGAAGGAATGGAGTGGGGAGCTGCCCAGAACAAAGCTTGTCTTATTATGCAGTAAAGTTTTCCAGATATCAGTCATCAGAAGGCCACCTGAGGTCATTCTATCCAGGCCAGGTGTCAGGCCCCAAGCTCCTCTTCTAAACAGATCTTAACTAAGCAAAAGGGAGGAGGTCAGACAGGAAGGCCTCTGCCTGAGTCACTGTTTACTGAGTATATATTTTGTTTTGCAAAGGTTCACAGGGGTTGCAACACCTCCAGATGGCCACCTGGAAATAAACTAGGGAAGTATTTTTTATCTCTCTCATCTGCCTGTTGTCTCCTCAGGTTATCCCCAGTACCTGGTGGTGGGGAACCATCTGTCAGGGGAGCACCACCTGAAGATCCTGAGGGCTGAACTGCAGGACGATGCGGTGTATGAGTGCCAGGCCATCCAAGCTGCCATCCGGTCCCGCCCTGCACGCCTCACGGTCCTGGGTAAGTCATGTGAACACATGAATGGAGGGATGACATGAGGACTCTGGGAAATTGCAAGAGTTCAGTTTACTCGAGGGTCCTTCTGGCAAGGCTGACTGGGAGTGGTGACTCCCCACTGGGCACCATCCCATCAGGCTCCACCCACAGTTGCCCTCATAGTGTCCCTTTCTCTTTCTTCCCACCCAAATGGGACAAGTGAAGGCTCCCACTCTAGGATTTCATGTCACCACTGGCCTATGACTACCTAGTGTGTTTGGCTACACTTTAGGAAGTTGATGAGGGTCCCTTCTTCCAGCTCTGAAGGGGCCAGCAAAGCCCTATAAGCCTACTTCTCCACAGAATGAGCCTCAAGCTTGATCTCCCATGACTTCTACACTCACAGGGATTAACAATGACCATTGTTAACAGGGACCCTTGGTCCCCTGGGAATCCTGGTTCTCAGGTCATTCCAAAGAGACTTCATTTCAGGTCCTTATTACAACCATTTCTTTTCCCCTTGGTCTTCCTTCAAGTGTCCCTGGGACAGACCTCCTGAAGAGGTCCCCACTCCCTCATTGAGACAGATCTGCCTGGAGATGGGGGTGGGGGTTTGTTCAGTGACTCCTTAAGGATGCCCAGTTTTGACTGAGAGTTCAGCCAAATCATCATCTTCCTCTGGACAGGTGTTCCACAGAAGTAAGTTATGAGGAAGCAGTCCTTGCCCATAAGCAATAACCCCACACAAATGCCAAGCAGTTTCCTGTAACACTCAGAGCTCCCCCAAACTGGGTCAGGGATTGTTACCTCAGGTAAGAAACTGAAGCTCAAAGAAGCAGAAGGCCTAGGCCAGGGTCTTCCTGCTGAAGGCCCTTGCACCACCTCCCTGGCCTCTGCGGGTTGTGTTTTGTCAGGCACGTGTGGATAGAGCCTGGGCAGGCAGGAGAGGGAAGCCCTAGCCCTGGCCCTGGCTGCCTCATGGCAGTTGCTGTGGAGCTCTGATGACAGGGTCGGCAACTGGAATGCTGCTTGGAGATAAAATATTTAAGAGCCTGTCAGGTTATCTTCAGATCTCCACAGCCGAACACAAGGGGCACATGGTTCCAAGTGAGACAGCAGAGAGGCCCCGAAGGACCACTTACCAGCTTGGCCTGGGCTGAAGCATGGAGGGGAATCTCAGTAACTTACCAACTTCCAGCCTGGTAATCTGTTCTGCCTGGTAGGAAAGGGGTGGAAAAGGAGCTGGGTGATGGGGCCAGAGGTGGGCCTCGAGAGGAGGCACAAGGACACTACAAGGAGTAGTGGCTGCTCCCTCTTCCCCTGGAGATGGGGAATAAACTGAGGAGGACTCTGCAGTCCCGTGTAGGGTGAAGAGGAGATGGAAAGGACTCAGGGTTGGAGTGTTTGGGGGTTGACCAAAAACTGGCAGAACACATTTGCTAAGTGAAGTTGTAGGGTACTCACCATCAGCTCCCATCCTCAGAAGAACCTCTGTCTGTTCCCTTGCACCTCTCCAAGAGGCATCCAGAGAATGCCAGAAAAGAGGGCCTAAGCACTGTCCATTCCTCTAACTTCATGCAGGAGCTAAAAGGGAGACCATCTGGTCCTCGAAGTATCGCAGCCTCATCAGCCAAGGAAGGCTACTTAGGCCTCCCTGCTCTCTAGTATCTCAGACAATAAAGCCCACTGTAGTGAAATTCCAAATGATTCCATGTGCTTTACAGATAAGCTAATAGAGAGATTCAGAGAGGCAAAGGCATTCGCAGGAGGTCACACAGCTTAATTAGCATTTAAAATCAAGTCCACATTTTCCAACTCCAGAACAATGCTCTTTGCCCAGTCTCCTGGTCCCAAATGCCAGCTGAATGTCATCTTTCCAGCTGGTTAAGAACCAGGCTTCTGAGAACAGAGCCTCAGGATCCAATATGAATAGACCCAATTTTGTTTTGGGTTACCTCTAAAAGTCCTTCACTCTTTTCTCTCTGCCAATGGCCTGGGCTGGCATTGTGTTCAGGGCACAGAGTTGAGTTTGTGTAGGTGAGGCATTTATTCAAGCCTGGAGGTCAGCAGGTTTTTCTGGAAGAATTCCTACAAGCAAGAAGGAAGCTTGAGTTGGCATCCCAATACATCAGCTATTCTCCCAAGGAAAATAGATTTGGGCAAGAAGAGGCAGTCAGAGCCTCTGGCTCCTTGGAACCCCTCATGCCTGCCCCTACTGTTTTCCCATCACCCTATCCCAGGCTAGTCCTGTAGGCCTTTCCAAGTCTTACAGATCTCCTCTAGGCCACTGGTCCTGCAGGGCTCTGCTCAGCTGAGTTTCTGTAGGTATAAGTTCCCTCCAACTGGCCCTAACGTGGAAGCCAACCTGGCCACTGGAAAGGGCTCCTGGTCTAAGGATAGGCTGGAGAGTTAAAGACTCTGACCTAGCCACTTCCCTTCCCTAGCAACCAAGCCCCTCCACCCCCCATCTGCTTCACAGTGACATCTCAGCCCAGGAAAATGTCCCAGTCAGTTCCCAAAGGAAGACTGCCTTCCCTGTGTTCCAGGAATGAAAGAGGTTCCTAATTTAGTCTGTATTTGCCTGAGATAGATTTTTAATTAAATAAAGTAAGAGCTTGATTAGAACCTGCAGAAGATGTGAGGGCAGAATCAGATGGTATTCCGGCAAAATCGCAAAGCAAACACTCTGGCTGGAACACAGAGAGGCCCCTGGGGGTCTTCCATCAAAGCACCAAGTAAGGAGGGCAAATACGAGACATTATATAGCCAGCAGATGTGCACTGTTAAAATATGCATCTGCTGGTATCGTGTTCAGAGAAGCCAGGGGGCCAGTTCTCCAAGCCTGCCCAGCTGCAGGGAAGGCATGGGGACCAGCCCGCCAGCCAAGCCTAGAGTCATAGACACATTAATTAGCATTGTGTTTTCAGAGCTCAGATGCAATCAGGCACAACGCAACTTTGAACAGAGGTTTTGCTTCCCTGGGAGGCAGAGGAAGAGTCAAAGAATGAGGAAAGGGTAGGGAAGGAATTGAGTGTATGAAACTGAGCACCACAGACAAGGGATCTACATCCCAGGTTACAGGAGGGCTGAGTTCCCTCAGCGACCCAGCCAGCTGCTGAGAGCTGTACTTGACTTAGTCCACGTCAACACAGAGATCTTAACACCCATACAACAACTCAGGGAGCCTTGATATGGAGGAAAGGGCTGCAGACAGAGCCAGCTATGTGATCCTGATCCTATTACTCAACTTCTCTGGGTCCCAGTTTCTTGGTCTATACAATGCAAAGTGACTAAACAGCTGATGTCTAAGAATTGTCCTGCTCCCAAAAGGCCTTTTTCCAGCCAGGAGTCCAACATACTACATCAAGTATTTTAGAAAAATGGGCCATTCTCCACTAGAGCCAAGATTCGTGTGGAGCCTGAAGCTGAGAAGGTAACTGATTAGGATGGTTTAGACTGTAGCCCACCTTGAGGCTGGGAGATGTGACGTCACAAAGTTTCACCTGGCCTTGGGATTCCATAGTTGGTGGTGGGCCTTCACTGCCAGACCTCGCTCAGTACCAAGGTTCCACACAAACCTAGCCATCTCTGCAGCAGTTCAGCTTAGATGGATATCATAAGACCCCTGCCCTACCCTCCTGTACTCATACAGAGTTGTAAAGCAAGAGGAGTCCCAGGCTAGTAAGGAGAACACTAACAGCTAACTGGGCAATGTCCTTCGAGCTAGAGCTGGGCCTCTTTGATCCAACTCCTTAGCCAGCCCCTGGTAGAGCAGGTACTCAGTTGTGTTTTGTTTGCTTTTAAGTGAATGAATGAATGAATGAAGTTTCTGATACCTCTCCTAGAATCGAGGATACTCAAAACATCAATCTCATAGAGTTATGAACATCAAACACATATGTGCATGCTCTGTAGATAATGAAACACCGCCCATTTTAAAGCTCTACTCCCATGCATGAACACATACAAATGGCATACACTTTCCCCACATACAGGAACCACAGACAGGGTCAGAACCATAAGGCACCATTACACTTGATCTAACTACCTGAAGACTTGGGTAGCAAAGAACTGGAGAGCCTGGGGAGGGAGTAGAGGCCAAGGATTTGATCAAGAAATATTTCCTGAGTGCTTACCATGATCTAGACACTCAAGATTCATAGGTAAGGAAAAGACAAAGTCATCCTTGCCCTGGTAAAACTTGGCTTCTAGCAGGGAGTGAGGCAGCTGACAAATAGATTCAGCAAGTAAACAGTGTCATAAGCATCTCCCCTGGCAATAAATGCCATGGAGAAGAAAAAAGAGAGCAGGGTTGGAGGGGTTTCAGAAGTGGGGAGAGGGTGTTGCATGTCAGGTCAATTATTAAAAAGGGGGTTTTCCCAACCTCTCTTCTCATCGCCATCTTCCTCCTGGCCCATTCTAATATTAACTCTGCTATCTTTGTGATTCCCATTAGAAATCAAGCTTCCTAATTCAACATGAATTATTTAAGATGGAGACTAAGTTCATTCAAATAAAGAGTGCATCTTTTACCATGATGCCATGCTCCAGACACTAAAAGGGCAAACAAGCTCTAATCTGTTCCATGTCCTTAAGTTGTTCTCTGACATCTGTATAGTGGGCAACAGATCTGTATTGGTTACTTTTCTTTTTCCTGTGACAAAACACCTGACAGAAGCAATAGAAAGTAAAAAAAAGATTTATTTTACCCTGGCATTTAAGGAGATACAGCACAGCAGCTGGAACCAGCTTGATCCAAGGTGGTAGAGTTGATGGCACAGATTCCTTATCACTGTTAGGTCAGGAAGCAGAGGGAAATGAAAGCTGGTGCTCAGTTGTCTTTCTCCTTTTTCCTTTTATTCAATCTGGGCCCTCAGCCCATGGGATGGTGCCACCCACATTCAGGCTGGGTCTTCCCTCCTCAGCTAAACCTGTCTGGAAATGCTCTCACAGGCATGCCCAAAGGTGTGGCTCCTAGGTGTTTCTAAATCCAGTTGAGCTGACAGCAAAGATTAACCACCACA